GAGTGGGGGAGGGCGGGGGTCTAAAAGCAGAGTCTGACACGGGGATGAAGGCACTTCTTACGTTCTGTAGGAGGCATGTAGGTTGGTAGCGTGGAAGTAGCACAGCTGAAGATGGCAAGTACAAAGCTGTGAAATGGAAATAAACGAGGAAATAAAGAGAAAATGAGGATGTGTTGAAAGTGAAAAGTCGGAGGAGGAAGTTGGAAACGAAAAGATAGGGATGGAAAAAAAGGTGATTTTTTTTTCAGCATTTCAACAGAAAAACATGTAAAACTATAATTAAAGAATTCATAATAATAAAAAACGTGTTAACTGTGCCCCACTCTATAGTTAAATTATTTATTTTTTATTAGAAGTGAACAATTTTAGGTATACTGGGCAATACAAGCTCACAATTATAATAAGGTTAATACCAAAAACACAAGATTTCCCTAAAATAAACCATCAGCACTTACATATTAAAATACTTCATGCCTTTTGAAATATGTTTCTGAGGAAATGTTATAAAGAATAACTATCTTACCTGTTATAGATAGCTCTTTGATCAGCCTCAATTTTGAGAAACAGAGCTTAATTTGGACCAGATTGACAAAATGAGTATTTTGTAAACTTTTACATTGCAGCATGTTTTGCATTTCATGATAATTCGAGCAGAATATTCCTACAGGAAGTGGACCAGACTGCAACAGATGTGCTACAGCTTGTTGGATCTAGATTCGTGCATTACCAAGAAATATCTGAATAAATATAAAGAGATATTTATACATTATTAATTTGAGTTTTAAACATATTTGGTAAAAGGGTCAGGGTTAATCTCACCTGGTGCAGGTGGCGTGTGCAGGTACACTTCCTCGCTGTACTCCCCGTACCCYGCCTTGTTGCAGCCTCTCACCCGCAGCACGTACACACTGTCCATCTCCAACCTGTCAATCACGGCGCTGCTTCCGCTCACGTCGTCCAAGCGCTGCCAGCCCCAGCGAGCCGCAGCGAGTCCTCCTCTGATCCCGCCTCTGGACGCTCCTCCCGGCACCACGCCGCGGCGGCGGTACTCCACGGAGAAGTGCCAGGCGGGCGCCGACTCCTGGGGCAGCCGCCAGCACAGAAAGAGCTGGTCGTAGGCCAGAGAGCGCTGGGTATCGATCACTGGGGCCTGAGGAGCTGCAACAGGTATATTTATTTATTTATTTATTTATTTATTTATTTATTTATTTAGACAACCTCCCAGGATGTGGACGCAAGAGCAAATGCAACCCCAGGCTGATAACCCCAACTATGTGTTTTTCTATTATAGAACGTACGGCATATTTTTCTCTCCTCCGTTCTCTTTTTTTGTATTATTGTATATTTTGCTCTGCATTGACCATGTTTCTGAGTTACAATTTTAGAATTTAGTCTTGATTTGATGTTTCGTTACGTTGCTTATGTTTTATTATGTTTTATTCAGTTTCATTTTATCTTTCCACCATTTTTACATTGTTAATYATTGRACAGCACATCTGTGAAAGGCGCTTTATAAATAAAACTTTACTTACTTATTTCAACAAATCTGCTCTTTCTTGTTGTGTTTTCTCCCCCACCCTTCCCCCACAGCTGCCCCTCTCACCCTGGATGAAGTTCAGCTCTGTCAGGAGCTTCAGCTCTTTGGAGACATCCAGCTGGAAGTGTCTGAAGGATGGATCAGCYGCTAAAGTGAAATGCTGGAGATTCTCAATTGCTTTGCTCAGCCTGGTAAGTYAAAGAGAGAGAAAGCAGCGTGAGAGGTGGAAGAATGTTTACACAATGTTTTGATCAAGACGAATGGGAGGGAGAGACGGAATGATACTGTGGGAGGGATGTTTGGAAAAGCTAAAATAAAAGACGAGGCRGCAGCCTCTTCCTATATTTTTATTACACCTAACAAATCAAGCAGATGGGCCAAAACTAACACAACTTTGGTCCTCTCAATACATCACTGTCCAGTTTGTTGRTAACACCAAACACATTATGTTGCTTCCTGGTCAAAATGGTGAACTAGCTATTATGAACTATGGTTCAACCTAAAAATAAATAGGCTATAATGGAGATTAATGCACAWTTTCCATGTTTATAAAGAGGATGCTATCAATGGCAACAATGTCTTGTCATTAATTATAACTGCAGCAGTTTAAAACAAACTCATTAGTGTCTTTCCCTAGAAGATGGATCATTAAATGTATATCAGAACGAAGTTTTTTACAAATCATTAAA